CCCGAGTTCGATCCCCAGTACAAAAAAAAGAAAAAAGAAGAATGAGAAACTAGTCATTTATAGAAACATGGATGCATATTGACGCCATAGTCTTAAGTGAAATAAACAGAACACACATTTATAAATACTGAACAGTTTCTCTGATGTGAAAAGATAAAAGTATAAATAAGATCCACATTGCATAACTGATAATTTGAAATAGGAAGAAAAGGGCTAAAGGTGTAGGGGAAGTGGGAAGGGCAGGAGAAAGGAAATAAGGGAAAATAAAACATGAAAAAAGGAAAAAATGGAAACAAAGTGTTTGTAAATAGGAAAGGGTGGAAGGGACAAAGGGAGGGCAGGGGTATGGGGAAAAAAACAAGAACCAAGATCTGTCATGTAAAGGTACAAGATCCCAATGATGAATTTAACTGTACTATATATCTAAAAAGTACCAATAAACTCAATATAAAAAAAAAAAGAAAACATAAATGGCCAATAGGTACATGAAAAAATAGTTCAGCATAACTAATTAGAGAAGCACAAATTAAAACCAGAATGACATACAATCTTCTGTTAGGAAAATAATTATAAAAAAAAAAGTTTGCCAAGGCTGGGCTGTTAGTGGGAGTGTAAATTAGTATGACCATAATAGTAGAGAGGTTCCTCAAAAAAATTAAAAATTAAGAGTACTATATGATCCAGCAGTATCACTTCAGGGTAGATACAGTATCTGAAGGAAATGATTTGCCTTCCCATGTTCACTGAAGCATTATTCACAACAGCCAAAATGAACATCAACCTACATGTCTAGGAGCAGATGAATACAGAAGATGTGCAATATAAATATAATGGGATATTATTTAACCTATCATTTGTGAAACATGGATAAAGACTTTAAGTAAAATAACCCAGGTACAGAAAGACCAATACCACATGTTGTCACATACAAATCTAAAAAAACTGAAATCACAGAAGCAGAAAGTAGGCAGTAGTCATGAAAGGATAGGTAGCGGTGGATGGGATGTGACTGGGAAATGTTGGTCAAAGGATACAAAATTTAATTTAGATAATAAGCAAAAAATTTGAATACTTAAAAACTGCCAAAAAAAACTAAGAGAATAGATTTTAAGCGTTCTCACATCTGCAAAAAAGGTATTAGGTAATATTATATTAATTAGCTTGACTTGGTGATTACACAACATATATCAAGACAAGCTGTATACCATGAATACATAAAATACTCATCAACTAAATTAAACAACACAATGAATTAATACAAAGTGAACAAACTTCTTCAACATCCACCCAGGTCAAAGAACATTATCAGCATTCCAAGTCCCCAAGTTCCCCAGTAACTCCCCTCCATCTCCCCAAAAGTAAAGCCACTTGCCTTCTAACACCATAAATTAGTACTGCCTACTTTAGAACATTAAGGAGAACCATGTTTCTTTTGCATTTAGTTTTCATTTAATATTTATGTGATTCATCCATAATGTTATAGTCATTGATTTAGTTCCACTGTGATCACATCAGTTTATGTAGTGCACACTTAGGGTTTTCTAGTATTTAGTTATTACAAATAATGCCAGGGGGAGCTAGTATCTTGCATATGGCCTTTGGTACAAATTTGAATGCATTTTTTGTGTATATAGCAAGGCCCAAATTACTGGGTCATAGTTATATGTGTGTATATCTTTCATAGATAGTTTTCAGAAAGCAGTTCAGTTTGCAGGAAGTCTGAGAGTCATTTGTTCCATACTCTCACCAACACTTGATTTATCAGCCCTGAATTTTGGTCATTTTGGTTAAGTGTGTAGTAGTATAGCACAGTAGTTTGATTTTGCATTTCCCTGATAATACCTTTTCACATACTTGTTGGCCATTTGGCTATACTTTTATGAAATGTGGCTATACTCCTGAAGTGCCAATTGACATGTTGTGCCCATTTCTCTAATGGGCTTTCTTTTTTAACGATAGTTTCACATCTATTAAAGCAAATATAAATCCTTTTGTCAGTTTTATGTGTGCAAATTCACTTCAAATCCATAATCACTTTTAATATACAGGAAAACTAAATTTTTTTTCTATGCGAAGAATCAAGTCCATATTTGAAATAGTATATGGCATATACAAACTACATCTTCATCATAAATATATTTATAGCAAAGTCTTTCATTATATTCTTTGAATATGGTACAAAACAAAGTTTGTTATCTTAATACTTTCATGCATTGTATAAGGGGTACACACTGACAAGTTCCAAATAATGCTTATTTAAAATGGAACAGGGCCGGGGATTTGGCTCAGTGTTCTGCCGCCTACCTCGCAAGAAGGGCCAGAGCTTGATCCCAGGTACCAACCAACCAAACAATAAACAAACAAACAAATAAATAAATAAAATGGAACATTTACAGGGCCAGGGATTTAGCTCGTGAAGCCATGCCTACCTCACAAGCACATGGTCCTGAGTTCAATCCCTGGTACCGGAAGAAAAAAAAAAAAAGGAACATTTGATAAATACAAATATTTTATATCTATTCTGCTTTTGTTTGTTCATACAGATTAATGAGTTTTTAATAAAGGAGAGAACAATTTAACAAACATCAATGTATATAAATAGCTGACCTCTTCCAATCTTAAAGAGGAAAATGAGTTGGCAACTTGAGATCAAGTCCTAGATTTCTAATGTGCACAGAAGACACCAGCATCTAGTATTTTCCTGTAGCAGGATCATTACCTGAATCTTCCACCAACATGTACCCCTGTATTCTAACCTTTTGCTTCCCATTTCAGGAAAAGATGGCCTATTGTCCAAAAGTGTTTAGATTTATCATCTCCCAAATACTCACAGACATTTCTAAGATCTAGTAATAAAATATTTTGCATAATCAGTTTTTCAAAAAACAGGAAAGGAGAAGGGAAGGGGAGGAAAAGGAAAGGAAGGGGAGGGGAGGGGAGAAAGACAAACTCAAACAAGTAACTTAATAATGCACCTCAAGGTCCTAGAAGAAGAACAACAATTCGAATCCAAGGCTAGTACAAGGAAAGAAATTATGAAGATTAGGGCAGAAATTAATGAAATTCAGACTAAAAAAAATACAACTTTCAAAAAGATGAAATACAAAAACCTTCAGTCTCACTCTAAAAAGGAAAGACCCTATTTACACTTTCAGTTTCTTACACCACAGAAACTTACTCGGTATTTACACACCTGTCCTATTTATTTCAGTTAATAAATAACATGAAATAGGAAGAAAAGGTCCAAAGGGGAAGGGGATGTGGGAGGGGTTGGGAAAAGGTAAAAAGGGAACGGAATTAATATGAGAAAAGGAAAAAATGGAAACAAAGTCAGGGAGGGGCTGAAGGGAGGGGAGGGGAATGGGGAAAAAATACGAACTGAGATATATTATGTAAAGGTACAAATTCCTAATGATGAATGTCGTTATATTGTATACTTAAAATGCACCAATAAAATTAATTTTTAAAAATTTCAGAACCAGTTAAAGTGCTACTTCCTTTATGCAGAACTTTTACCATGCTGCTACTTCAAGCTGAGAGGGCCGGGGATTTAGTTCAGTGGTTCCGCTGCCTGCCTCGCAAGTGCAAGGACCTGAGTTCGATCCCCGGTACCAGTGGACACATACACACACACACACACCCAAAAAAGCTGAGAGGTGTGTATTTCAGTGATGAGTATACATTTAGTATGCATGCACCCCTGAATTCAATCTCCAGCACTATTTAAAAAAAAAGTTGAGAGGAGGCAATGTAATAAGTCCTCTTGAACATACTGTCCCCTGTACTGCTTTACTATTAAACTTTTTTTTTTTTGTACCAGGGACTGAACTCAGGACCTTGTCCTTGCCAGACAGGTGTGGTGCCGCTGAGCTACATACCCCTGGCTTACTTTGAGTACAGAAGGGAAATCAGGAAGACATTTTCTCAAAACCTACTATACTCTGTACTCAAAAGGTGTTTTTTTAATTAAACTAAAAAGGAAGACTTCTTAAGTCATTTTATGAGCCCATAATTACCGATACAAAAGTTACATAAAAATATCACTAGAAAACTACAAACCAATATTTTTAAGACAGAGTCTCACTTTGTAGTTAGGTGGCCCTCAAACTCACAGTGATCCTGATGTTTCATCTGCCTCCAAGTGGAAGGATTACAAGTATGTGCTACTATTCTTGGCTTTTTCATTTCTAATGTGGTAAATACATAGTAGGTGATAGTCACTGAAATGTTAAACTTCCAGAAAAAATTTAGGTCTGTCTTCAAAGCTAATTGTCAGTTGTCATTTGACTTACAGAATGGCAGTCAACTAGTAAAGGGTTTCTTAGGTACCATGGAGAAAAGAATTCCATATTATTAAATTTTGAGAAGTTAAAAAGTTGCTTTTTTTTTACATTCCCTCTAAAATGGCAGGGAATGATTTTCTCTTGCTGACACGAGGTCTTGAACCTAGGTCTATACATCTGGACTACATACACATATCAGAAAATCAGAACAGAAACAAATAGAAGAGATTGGAAGACAGAGAAATGTTCAGCCACCATTTCTAGTGTACCCTCTATTTAAAAAGATCTAAGACTTGTGGAGAGAAAAGAAATTAATGGCAAGTTTTAATATTAAATCTCCTTTTCTACCTGGCCCCAAAAGCCAATCACACACCTGAAGCTAGGGAAGGTCAAGTGTAACTTTGCCTATGAAGGAGGACCTTACCTGTATTCCACCTTCCTCACTCCATCACCACCCATGCAGAAAGGGCAATTACCCTGCTTTGGAAATCCTAACGTGGACTTACCTAATTTTACCATTAAGAAATGTTGACACTGATTCTGTTTTCATTCAGTATGTCTATGTTATATAAAGCAACTACACTGAGCATTCATATAAGTCATAGTTTTAAAAGCCAATCTGCTTCATGGGTTCGAATTTTTAATTAATAGCAACTGAGTACAATAAAAATATATGAAATCTGCTTTTTAAATCAGGTTAGAAAACACATTTTGCTGACACAGTTCCTTTCAACATACTTTATTAAGATATTGCTCACAAATTAGGGGAAATCTTGTTTACCAGGATAGTACTTATTTTACAATATAAGTAAAAAGCACCAAAAAAGAATGTGGCATCACAACTCTGACAAATACCAGAGCTACTGGTTTCTAGTACTATACTTTAAAACTACACCATTATTTAGTTCTCAAAAACTTTCATTAATACCAAATCTATAACTCCAAAAAAGGATCCAAACAAACACACTATGTTTAACTCTTATATTGACACATACATACTAATTCAGCTTTTCAAACATAAACCTTCCCCTGCAACTAAACATTAAATATGTAATACTATCTTTTTTGAAACAAGGTTATTAAAACCAAAGCAGACTAGAACATGAATGTTAACAGGTGAAGAACCAACAATTCTTTTTTTGTTACAAATGGTTTCTAATGTTCAACAATAAAGACTTTTCTATACAGGCCAATTTTAACCTATTTTGTTTCACGAGAGAAATGTACGAACTGTGCCCTTGATTATACCCCTGCAAATAGGGCACTTTCTTAGGGAAGGGGCACATTCCTGGCATACTACCAGATGACCGCAAGGAATGAATACAATAGAAACTTCTTTGTCCATACACACTTTACAGGTTCTTTCTTCTTGCAACCTCCTCAACTGTTCTTCCAATGACAGGCCTAATAACAAAAAGAATTTTAGTGAAATTCAGTTTCCACTTTACTTCCCCTAAGAAAATAAGAGTTAATATGTCATATTGGTCTTTTTTTTTTTTTTGGTCTTAAGTCTTAATTCTACTTTACCTGAAACATCTTCTGTTGGAATATACTTCATATTCTTTTCCACTGAGGAAAAAAAAAGCATATAAAAACATCATTTTACCAAATACAAAACTATTTTTTTTCAACTACTATCCACTGAATGATACAGATTCAACCTATATATTATTAACAACTATTACATTTTAGGTAATGCGACATCACTTTTTTGAAACAAGTGGAATTACCATAGTTTACTATTTGGATTTATTCTGCTTGTGAAGCAGAGAGATGAACATAATCCTAAGAATTTCTAAAATAATTTTCCCAATAAACTCACCAAATAAGTTCTCATATAATGTAGAATCGATTTCTTTTAGGCAGTTTTTGAAGATGTTGGCCGCAGCATTTCCTTTAACTAAAATGGTATCTATCAGTTCTCTTGCTTGTAAAGGTATTTGTGTTTTTTGTTTAATAATATCATGTTCCTGTTTATTAATTACATTGGCCTTTAAAAGATTATCCAGGACAGGAAGGACACTTGTCAACCGTTGAAAGAGAGCCATTCTATTCTTCCGAATTAACGACAAGTCATCTTCATTTTACAAGAAAGAAAGAAAAAATTCATTAGATTTAAACTCCTCCAACAAACTCATATAGTCACTAACAACCAACCTGACAAACAACTTAGGCACTAAATACAGCTTGAAAAATAAGAAAATGATTTACTTGCACTTCAATGTCTGTAATTTGGAAAACTGTCAGAAGATTAAAGCAAGACATATTATAAAGTACATACAAAGTTTATTTCAATAATATTTAAGTCTACACACTAACACATCACAGAGCCCTGCTTTTCCTTTACTCTGTTGAAAATAAGCAAAAAACTTTAAGAGGATAGTAAAACTTTCCCACCTGTATTCCTCTCAGCATGGAATACTGATTTCTATTTGCATTCTGTCACTTTACTTTTTTATAAATACTTGCATTTGTTTCATTTCATATAAATATCTTGTTAATTAGACAAGGCAAGTATTACTGTCTCTCCCTCTCTCTCTTTTTTTTTTTTTTTTTTTTTTTT